TTTTTTAGGCTTATCAACCTGTAGATTTGGTCATAACTTCTCTATATTCATAAAAAACTAAAAATTAWATATTTCAGTATCCACGATAAGGGAAATTTTATCTGCTGAAAAAAAAATATAAGTTACAATGTATAGAATCTTAAAAATTAATATGTATAGAAATATATTGTATTATTAAATTGTATGCAAGTGTATACRATATTTATTCTCTATTATGTAAATAGTTTTTAGTATTAGTTTGTTAATTTTATAACTAACCAATATTCAATTTATAGATCTTCCAGCTCTTCATCAACAGACAGTTCAAGATATTCCAGAAAAAAACATTCAAGCAGATCTGGATCAAGGTATTATTTATATGCTTAAAATGTATACCTAATTAAAAATAAAATTTAAAAGTTCCCCTATTTTTCAACCTAAGAATACGAAACTTCAAAAAATGTACTTATGAATAGTTTTAGTTTAGATGTTCATTTCATTTTGAGTTTGTAGTGGAAATCCAAGCCCTTTTAATATTCCCAAAGCTGTGGTGCAGAAAAAACACATCATTGTATAAAATAAATTCTTTACTTTACTTAGAATTTAATATAAATTTAGTACTTGTTGGTTACCGTAAAAATGATAAAAAAGCTTTTAAAAACCAGGAATAATTAATAATTCACTTTAGGAGAAAAATGCTCTGACATGCATTCTAAATTTCCTATAAATGGGTTGTTACTTGTTATGCTTTGACGCCACATGAATTCAACCAAATAACTCTCCAAATGTTAGYAGTGCCTMTATGGTTTTTGTTGCGYTATTTAGAGGATTCCCCATAACATTTYAATATTCTGTGTGTGAGCACAAGTTTGAGGATCGACAAAATTATAAAAGTGGTTAACGGTTAAATGCTGAAACCCAGCGTTCCGTAGTTCATCTGTTTTATAACCACGCCAACAATCAGAATAAATAGTTGTACCTTGGTTTATAATTTTATGTTAATTTTATTGCTTGCAGTATAAGTATAGACGCAGACCGATCTTTGACTTCAACTAAAAAACATTCTGTTGCTTCTCGACAAATGCCTCCAAAAATCCACTATAGAGGTAAAACTCTACCAGCATTATTTTTACGTCTTGTAAAAAGACTATCGTCGATTTCTATTATTTTTCCAGGACCACCAATTTACGACTTTTCAGGCTTAAAACACATATGTCTCGCATATAATTATTTCAGTCCACAGTAGTATCGCGACACATTTTTAAYTGTTTGACATCATTTTGCAGAAGTCATTTCTTCTGCCCAACAATATATAAATCGTAAAGCGCATACAAATGAATTGCCAACAAACCGATTACCTACCGATACTCATGTTTACCTTCTTTTGGCACGATTTAAGATTACATTTCCAAAACATTTGTTTTCCGAAAAACATTTTAGCTTCCAGACCCACATAGCCGTGTTCTAGATAAAACGCCATATTCTCGGAAAAAAGCCACGGCATCTTTTTTGTTCGATGGTAAATCCCAGATTTGCATTGTAATAATAAGACACGGCCCATGACAATGGTTCAACACTAACTGTGTTAGTATAACCGAAAAGTATCATACATTTATAGGAACTTTTTAATTACTATGTTAAATTATATTTTTGAGAGAGCTGCTCCCAAATATGACACTGACAGTTTTTTTTTTTATTTTGGTTTGGAATTTTGTGTGAGACACTCTGAGACATAACCTTCAAAATTTTAGGAAATTTGATTTGGTATTTAATAATTTTTGATAATTGGGTAATCACATTTTCACTGTCTCTAGGTTAGATTTGTTAGAAATCGTGAATATTCAGAATTGAAATCTTTTATTTCTAGATTTTAGTGTAATATCACTCKTTTGGCCTTATGATACATTTTATACATTTATAAATTAATCATTTCTTAATGTATCATTGATTTTAATATACTTAATAATATATTTTATATTAATGTCTATATTTTTGAATAATAATTAAACAATATTGTATGGAAAATGTATATGTATAATTATGTATGAATCTTGGTAATCTAGGTATTTAATTTATAGAATATACCTATTATACCTATATCATATTCATTAAATTTAAATTAAGTCTAATTTTTATTTTTATTTAAATTAGACATCATAAGAAATCAAAGCGTAGACACAGATCCAATAGTTCATCAGAATATTCATCGTCAAGACACAAACATTCTAGCCGTTCCTACCATAAAGATGAAAGTCGTTTGAAAAGAAAACATCATAGAAAAAGTTCATCTTCTAGTTATGATTCAAATAACTCCAATTCTTCAATTAAAGATCACCAATCTAGCTCCAAAACACTCAATGATAACGAAAGAACTAAAAGGGTACATCCTAATTCATTGTCTACCTACCAAGATGATTTGTTAATTGTAAAATCTGAATCTGTTAACAAAAAAGATGATGACGCAAATTGGCTTCAAAACAATGTTTGTAAGTTTATTGATAATTGTTAATTAGTATGTTTAATGATTATAATTTATAGCTCATTAATAATTTGATAAACCTATAACTATTCTTAAATTTAAGTTTTTGATATACACATTTTGCCAAGCTCAGGCAAGTTAATGATAATTTYTAATTGAGTCAAGTTGATAGAAAACATTAAAAAAAGTTTTAAGTTATTAGTTATCCTAATTTATTTTAAATTCAGTTAAGTTAAAATTATATGGAAATTTACAATTAACTTATTAACTTAAGTTACGTAATTTTTTATATGTATAAACAGTCAGTAATTGGTTTAAAATAATATTAATCATACATCATACATGTTATTRAAAATATTAACTGTTTATAAATATAAGTATTTTAAATAGATGTGAGCATGATCCAATTAGTTTTAATTCAAAACAATAATAAATAATAAAATGTATTTTTTTAAACATGCTATACTCTGCATTATAAATATTGAAATTAAAATTATTTCATTAAAATGTGCATGTTTTCCGTGGTATAGTATTTATTAGGGGCTAGGAACGTTTTTGTAGAAAAATTCATTTTTAAAAAAAATTACTAAAYCATGATGTTCAGAGAGCCGCACTGGTCATTTGGTCCAACAACCAAACAACCATTTTTTTTGTCGTCGTAGTTATAATATTTTGCTATTTTTTAAAATAAAATTTATATTTAAGGATCTTGATTTATTGATGCATTTTTCAAAGTTATTTTTATCAATCTTTATCAATCAATTCTGGTTAGTGGAATTTTTAATAAATGTTTATACAATATGCATCACCAATAATTATTTTATCACATTTATTATTTAATTATTCATAAATTAAACTTGAATTTGATTATGGGGGCTGGAGTAAATCTTGTTTAAAGGAGTAATATTTAGATAATTCATATGATATTAAAATTTGGGCTTTGTAGTAAATTAACATTAGTGTGTGTTTCTGATAATCGTGTCACGTGGTGACGGGCAACCACTGCCGTATACAACCCTCACACACGCTCAAGCATATCATTACATTAAAAGAAATTAAATATATTCTTGTTTTCATAACAATAAAAACTACTAAAAGTTATAGTAAATTAAAAATATTTTCTGAAGTTAGATTTTATTTTTGATAAAATTGTAATTTATAAGCTTCTAGACTACGCTTTTTAGGAATCACTATTTTGATTCAAAAGCAGTAGTGTCCTAATGCAATTATTTTATAGAATTTTTGAAAAATACATTAAAATTTTAAGAACCTTAAAAATTGAAAATTGAAAATTGAAAATCTACTTCCTAAAAAGCCTAGATATTTTTTTAAAGAATTTATAGGTACCTATATATATAAATATATTTTACATAAATAGAACATTCTGAGGTATGTGTAATTTACCACCGTTTATTTCTCTGAAACATACTTAAAATATGTGTGCTTCGATTATCTAAAAGCATCTCATCTAAGATTATATCAATAAAAATTAGTCGAATTTAAAATTAAGTTAAAAAAATTCAAATTAACTTTTGACTTGTTTATACCTAGGCTTGTATATTGCTATTTTTTAGCAGATTTCTGGTAGAACTTGACTATTTTTGTGATTTCTATAATATTTTATAATTTTGTAGGAAATTATTCTTTATTAAATTTCTGTTGTTTCTTAAAATGAAACGTCTAAACATTTAATAAGTATAATCAAACATTGTTTTCTATTGTGGTTTATATGTATATTTTAGTGGATATTATGAAAAGAGAAAATTCAATTGAACAGATCAATCAAGAAGGATTTGTGTTTAAAGTTTTTAATCCGTCATCTGAACAAAAATATGAAGAAACTAAAGATAAAACCCAATTTGATGTTTCAAACATRAATGAAGAAGACATTGATACTTTGCCAACAGAAGAATCAACATTTTTTATATGCAATCCAGAGAGATTATTGAATGCTAGGGTATTAATTTATTTGTTATTTAATTATTATTTAATTGCATATTTATAACAATATTTACATGTATTCTTTTATTTAGTACAAATTACTTACAAAGCAAGAGCGGTGTATAAACTGGGCAAAACAATTATTTGAATCTTATTATCAGTCTGAGCGTAATGGTGGAGAATTCGCAGAATAATGTAACTGAAAGTTATTTTTTCAATTTTAAACTCATACACGCACATTATGTAATTTCAAATCAAATATTAGAAGACTTTGATTTGCAATACTATTATTRAACTATTTTTTAATGTTAATTTTTTTATTACTTAAAAGATCCAAAGATATTGTATTGAGAAATTATATTTTTGCTAAGATTCAAATATGTTTTAAGAATAATTAAATAAACATTAAATTTTATATTGTTCATACTTTATAAGCTCATTACTACATTGTTCCATCAGTGACAGTGTGTATAAATATAAATGTATGAATTTATTAATAAATGTAATCAATTATAAACAGGGAAATAAAAATCATCTTCTTTTGAGGTAATAGATCATTTTTTATATAACAATTAAATAGATTAAGCAATAACTTTACTGTAATTAAAATTTGTTTTAGTAGAAAATAATTTAAGCCTATATTATGGCTTATATTATTTGACATGTTTAACTAAACTGTCAATATTTTTCTTACGTTAAACATTATTTCAATGTGACAAATTGAACTGGTTAAAATTAGCACCTTTCTGTATGTATRTAGTTTCATATTAGTAGAAAATTTGTATAATGTACAGGGTGTATCTAATATAGTTGTGCATGTTGTTTTTAATAATTTTGAATCAATAATATAGAATTTGAGTTTAAAAATAATAATTGTTACTTTATTTTATATCGTTTTTTTGATTTTTTGAAGCTCTGTTTGTACCAACAACAAAATCTATTTTAATTTAACGACCGTATATTGTACTAATGCTTTTTTTCTGAAAGACGCTTATCAACACTGTTAAATGATCAATTTTTTGACTTCTCAGTCTTAATTACAATCTCTAAAGTTAAGTAAATTCATTAATAGTCTTGATTTTAATAATTATAATACATTTAGTTTAATAGACCTGAATATTTTTTTAACTATAACTTATTAAAATAAATAAATAAATATTTTTTTTATTAATTCAATAGGAAATGTAGTAACATAAAATAATCTTTTATTATTTTTGTGGTAGATGCCTACACAATGATTGGCAAATATGATTTATTATTTAAGAATTTAATGTATAGTAGCAAAATTAGTAGTTATTTACTTTTGTGAATTCATAATAAGTTGATTTTTAACTTTGATTATAAAAGATCTTTAATGTTAATACTTAATTAGCCATTAGGCACCTGATATTAGTGATGTAGAAAATTAGGTTTAAGTATGTTACTGGCTGGAAATAAAAGTGTTCAATTATATTAATGGATAATAACAGTTTTGGACATTCATAATTAACACATTTTATATTTATACTGATTATTATGATTACATTGTACATGTAAATATTTTACAACTGATTTATTTTAAATTACATCAGAAAGAATATTCAGTGGGTGTGTTGTGGACTTATTGAATTGCCCTCAAGATCCTCAAACTAAGCAACAGTTAAATTTTTTCACAAAATTTTATGAGTGCTATAGGTTCACATACTGATGATATTAAATAAATGTATTATAAATATCAAGATATTTATATCATTTTTGTGGCTGATAATAAGTTAATAGAACTTGATTCAAAAATAAAACAATTATTTTATTTTA